ATTTTAACTTTTAAAGCTCTCACAAGCCTCAAAATTTTCAGTTTTCGAAATTCTCTCACAATTATATAAATTCGCAAAGTTTTCAGAGTCATTAAAGTTCTTACAGCTTTTGAAGTTTTTGAAAATTTCGAAATTCTCAAATTTGCGGAGTTTTCTCAAAATTCTCAAGATTCTCAAATGAATCAAAAATTTTAAGGTTCTTACAGTTGTCCTTTCAGCTCTCCAAACTTTTAAACTTTTTGAAATTTTTTACATTCTCCACATTTTCCAAATTTTTGAAGTTTTCGAAGTTCTTAAAAATTTCAAGTCTGAAAGTTCGTCTTTTGGTTTTTAAATGAATTTAAAAGAATCTCGAGGGAGTGGTTACATATTTAAAGAACCTCGAAGGCTTTTGCTGTTTTGTAATTCGAAGAATTTTAAAGATTCTTGGAGATCTCTCGAGTTTTATTTTTGAAAAATTTGAAACAATATTGGGAGACCCTGGTGTTTTTAATTTGTAAAAATTTGAACGAATCGTAAGATCTCTCAGTGTTTGGCTTATTAAAGAATTTTAAAGAGTCTTATGGTCATGATATCTAGCTTTTAAAAAAGTAGGGGTGTCTGGTATTTCGTTTTGAAAGAAATCTGAAAGAATCTTGAGATCCTGGTTGTTGTTTTTGAAAGAATTTAAATAAACTTGAGACCTGGTTTTGGTTTTTGAAGAATTTGAAAGAATCTTAGGGGTCCAGGTGTTTTGCTTTTCATAGCATTTTGAAGAATCTTGGGAGGTGGTCGTATTTCGATTCTTTAAAGACTCTTGAGGGCGTTTAGCGTTTTGTCTTCAAAGGAATTTGGAAGCATCTTGAGAAATCTTGAATCTTTTGGGGTGGTGGTATTTTGTTTTTTGAAAAAATCTTGAGGGCTTTTGTAGTTTTATTTTTGAAAGAATTCTAAAGAATCATAGGTGAGGCAACTGGTTCTTGGCTTTTTAAAGGATTTCAAAAAGTCTTGGGATCGTGGTACTTTTGTTTTTTAAAGAATCTTGAGGGCGTTTTTGAAAGAGTTTTCAAGATTCTGGGAGGTCTGTCGGGTTTTGTTTTTAAAGGAATCTTAAAGAATTTAACGTCTCTGATGTTTGGTATTTGGGAGAATTTGAAAGAATTTTGGGCTCATGGTTTTTGGTTTTCGAAATAATTTGAAAAAATCTTGGGGCATTCCCGGTGTTTAACTTTTTAAAAAAATTTAAAGAATCATTGGATCGTGGTATTTAGTTTTTGAAGAACTTTGAGCGCGGATGGTGTTGTATTTTTTGAAAAAGTTTAAACAATCGTTAGGGTAGTTGATGTTTTCGAAAGAATGTTGAAACCCTGGTCTTTTGGTTTTTGAAAAAAGTGAAAAGAACCTCGAGGGGGTGGTGACATATGTAAAGAATCTCGAAAGCCTTTGCTGTTTTGTCATTGAAAGAATTTTAAAGAATCTTGGAGGTGTCTCGGGTTTTGTTTTTGAAGAATTTGAAAAAATATTGGGAAACCCTGGTGTTTTATTTTTTAAAGAATTTGAAAAAATCGTAGGCGTTCTCGGTATTTGGCTTTTTAATGAATTTTAAAGAATCCTAAGGTCATGGTATTTAGTTCTTAAACAACCTGGAAAGTCCGGTGTTTTGTTTTGGAAGAAATCTGAAAGAGTCTTGAGATCCTGATGTGTTGTGTTTGAAAGAACTTGAAATAAACTTGCGACCCTGGTTTTGGTTTTTGAAAGAATTTGAAAAAATCTCAGGCTGTTCCGGTGGTTTGCTTTTCGAGGGATTTTAAGGAATTTTGGGGGTAGTCGTATTTTTCGTATTTTGATTCTTTAAAGAGTCGTGAGGGCCTTTAGTTATTTGCCTTCCAAGAAATTTGAAGAAATTTGAGAAATTGCTGTTTTGTTTTTGAGAGAATTTCAAAGAATTGGGGGGGGGGGGGGTATTTTGTTTTTTAAAGAATCTTGAGGGCTTTTGTTGTTTTATTTTTTAAAGAATTCGAAAAAATCATGCAGGGGGCTCCCGGTGTTTGGCTTTTTAATGAATTTCAAAAAGTCTTGGGGTCTTGGTATTTTTGTTTTTTAAGGCATTTTGAAGACTTTTTCGTCGTTGATGTATTGTGTTTGGGAGAATTGGAAAGAATTTTGAAATCACGGTTTTTGGTTTTTGAGAAAATCTTGGGAGGTGGTGTTTTATTTTTGAAAGGATTTGAAAGAATCGTGGGGGACTCCCGATGTTTAACTTTTAAAAGAATTTCAAAGAATCGTAGGGGTTCTCGGTGTTTGGCTTTTTAAAGAATTTTAAAGTATGTATTTTATTTTTAAAGAACCCTGAGCCCGTTGGGTGCTTGGTTTTTGAAAAAATTTAAAGGATCTTGGAGGTCCCTCCTGTTTTGTTTTGGAAGACATTTGAAAGTATCTTGAGATTCTTACATGTTGGGGGGTGGTGGTATTTTGGTTTTTAAAGAATCTTGAGGGCGTCTGGAGTTTTATTTTTGAAGGAGTACACAACAATTTCGGAGGCCTGTCGGGTTTTTTTTTTGAAAAAATTTTAAAGAATTTTTAGCCCTTGATATTTTGTGTTCGGGAAAATTTGAATAAATCTTGGGACCACGGTATTTGGTTTCTGAAAAAATTTGAAAGCATCTTGGGAGGTGGTGTTTTATTTTTTAAAGAATTAGAAAAATTGTCGGGGGCTCCCGGTGTTTAGCCCTTTGAAGAATTTTAAAGAATCGTGGGATCGTGGTATCGTGGTATTTTTTAAAGAATCTTTAGTGTAATTGATGTCGTTTTTGAAAGAATCTTGACACCCGCGTCTTTTGGCCTTTGAAAGAATTTAAAAGAATCTCAAAGGGGTGTGAAATCTTGTTTTTAAAGAATCTCGAAGGCTTTTGATGTTTTGTTGTTGACAGAATTTTAACAAAATTTTTTATTTTTATTTTAAAGAATCTTGAAGGCCTGTCTGAAGTTGTTTCTTAAGGAATTTTTGAAAGAATTTGAAACAACAACGGGAGGTTTTTTTTTAAGAATTTGATTGAATCGCGGGGGTTCTCAGCTTCTTAAAATATTTCAAAATTCTTGAAGATATTGGTATTTTTTTGAAAGAATCTTGAAACCGTCTGGTGTTTTGTTTTTGAACGAATTTTAAAGAATATTTCGGTTCTTTGAAGTTTTGTTTTTGGGATTTGATTTGTTTACAGCAGTGGTTCGCAAACTTTTATTATTGATGGCACCCTAAAATATTAAACAATATTTATTTATACCCCGCCAAGAACAGTTTTAATTGTAACTAATTTATTATCAAAAACACTTTATCACATGATTGTATAATATGTAATTGATGTTAAGATTGTTTTATAAATATGTGTTTTCCATAATCTAAGCTTCTCTTTTAAAGCCAAAATTTTTTCACTGGAGGTTAAAATATTTTCATTTCTACCTTGCATACTTAAATTTACATATTTTATTTAAGTATTCAAAAATATTAGTTAAATCTGCTTGTTTTGCACACCAAACGTGGTCTTGAAGGAGGTCAAAAAATTGTTCAGTATTTTCTGATTCAAAAAACGTTTGCATCTGTTTTCTTAAAAAAGAACACGGCCTTTAGATAGCCATCTTACTTCAGTCTGAAGAAAATTAACATGTTCAGAACACATTTTGCATTACTGAACAGTTGTACCACATTAATAAAATCAGATCATCAATTATTATTTTTTAAAGTTGGTTTTGTGCCTATATTTTTTAAAATCATTATAAAATTTTCACGGCACCCTCTTGGGGGTTCCGCGACACCCCAGTGTGCCGCGGCACCCAGTTTGCGAACCACTGGTTTACAGTATCTTGAAACCCTGGCATTTTATTTTTGAAAGAATTTAAAAGAATCGTCGAAAGCTCCCAGTGTTTGTTTTTGAAAGCATTTTAGAGACTCTTGGACCTCGTGGTAGGTATTTTGTTTTTAAAGAATCTTGAAGGTCTGTCGGACTTTGTTTTTATAGGAATTTCAAGGAATCTTTGGGATCCCGATTTTGTGTTTTTGGGAGAATTTGAAGGAATCTTGGGACCTCGGTGTGGTTTGAAAGAATTTGAAAAATTAGTAGAGGTTCCTGGTATTTTGTTTTTGGAAGAATTTGAAAGAATATTGGCAATTCCTAGAGTTGTTTTATTGTCGAAAAAATCATTGCTTAATTAATCTTAAGAGCCCCAGGTATTTTATTTTCGAAACTAATTTGGAGGAAAATTTAAACTTAAGTTGTGAGATTAATATTGAGTATTTCTCCCAATATCGAATGTCAAAAAATCACTTTGATTTTGATTTTATAAAGTAATCGATAAGTGAAGTCTTGAAACAGTCAGCAAAAAATATAAAAATGGCGGTATCGGTATTTGTAAAAAAAAAAATAGAAGCGAATTTCATGCAAGGATTAATAATTAAAACATTCCTATAAATGTTTGTGCACTCTATATCTATAAATTTGATACTTAGGCCACCCAGAATACATGTGTACGCGTTCAAATACCAAGTACACGTTCCTGCAACCACAAATACACATCATTTATCATAGCTCACGCACTCCCCCACAATTCAACTCTTCCGCTGCAAAATAAATCAAAATCTAAAACGGAAGGAACCATTCTACTCGTCGGAATTTCATTATACGCCAAATCCCACAAAAGCGTAAAAAGTGACAGTCATCAAACCCATAAATTACCCCGACACGAACCATTGTGGCACCAATCTCATAAACGCCCCAGAAGGACGTTGTCTTGCATCCCACAACCTCAGCAGGTTTTTCTACAGGGAGTCATGAAACGCCTGGCACAACAATCGATTTTCCCCCCATATGGGTATCGGTTTTTTCTTCGTCCCGAACATAATGACCCTTTTACGGCGAAATCGCTTCCTTCGCCCGCTGTTCGGGCAATATAATTAATTAGTTTGCATACCGAGTCGGAGAGGTAAATAGCATTAGGAAATAACACACGATAGGCAAACAACAACATCGCGTGCTGTCGGTGTGTGAGGCCGCGTTTACCAGAAATTATTAGCCCGGAGCACTTCTTCGGGCTCATTTCGCCGCAAGCCACGAACGCGACAACCAAAATCCGACCGGCATGTTCCAAAACAAAATCGTTCTGTCAGACATCAGTCAACCCTTTCAAAATTCCAATTCGCCGAAAATGGACGACGACGACCAGTTCGTGCCGGACGACGTCCAGAAGATCGTCAAGGACAACATCGAGGCCTGCCTCACGGACACCACGTACGAGGTGGAGAAGGTGAACCAGTGGAGCGCCAGGGTCTCGGAGCAGTGCCTCACGGCGCTGAGCAAGCTGAAGAAGAACTTCAAGTACGTGGTGACGTGCTCGATCATGCAGAAGACGGGGGCTGGGTTGCACACGGCGAGTTCTTGCTACTGGGACAGCACCACGGACGGGACCTGCACGGTGCGGTGGGAGAACAAGACCATGTATTGCATTGTTACCGTTTTTGGGCTTGCGATTTAAAATGGAGAGGATCGTCGGGGCAAATTTATGTGGCGTGTATTTACTATTTGACTGTTTTATATTTATATTGACTGGACGAGTTTGTGGAGGAGATTTTTTGTAAGTTGTAGACTTTATACAGTAAAGTGATTTTTCCGTTTTTGGAACGATGGTGTTTTATTGGGGTTGCTAAAAATGTTTAGAGTGTTAATATTAATACGCATTTTATGGTGGTGCCAGCTTTGTAGTAGTATAATTATGTTTGTGTTGTGGAGGTGTATTAACTGTACACATTTTCGGGTTTTATATGGCTATAAAGCATTTTGAAAATATAAAGTCGATGCATTACGGATTCGTCAAAATTATGTCTACTGTAAAACTGAAAATAGAAATGGAAACTTTTTAGGTTACGTGTTAAATGTGAGAGTAAACATTTTTTTTTTTAGTTTATGTTCGGATCTATACCGCGTTCTCCTTTGAGCTGGTAATGTAGAAAATCCATAAACAATGCATTTACTTCTAAGTTGAATTTTCAAAAGGGCAAAAATTTCCGTACTATGTGTCATTTTGACGATTTTGAAAAAAATTGGACGAGTTTTGAAGAAATAAAGTCGTAAAAAACTCGGAGAGGTGGACATTAATGTAACTACAGAAGGTAAGGAAGGAAGAAAGAAAGAAAGAAAGAAAGGAAGAAAGAAAGAAAAAAATTGTAGTATTTTTGAAGGTGATTGGAAAAAGTCAAAATTTTCATACTTTTTTTGGCGATGTTCGGTTTTAAAATGGAATCTCTGAATGCTCCAAAACGACCACATTTTATGTTCGGGGTTTTGGAAAAATGGCACGAATTTTGGCAATCGAAATTAAACAAAGAAATTATTGTAGCAATTTTCGAAAGTGTTCGAAAAAAGTCAAAAACTTGCCTTGACTTGAGAGTTGATTATAAATTTAGGAAAAATTCTGGAATATATCAAATGATCTCGACGAGGTTTTTGTGAAAATATAACGTGTTGATGGTCCGGGACCAAGATTTTCGAAATATTCGGGTTGACGTTTTTAAAATATGCCGGTGTTCGGAAAAAAGTCAAAATCCTCCTTTTTTCATATTTTTGAAAAAATAAACTTTTAACGAAGTTGCCTAAAAATCCACAAAGAATTCTAGAATACAGATTTCGACAATAAATCGTCCTGGGTGAATATTTTTGAAATGTTCAATTTCAGAATGAAAATTTTAGAACAGTCCAAAATTTGAATGAAATCGTAAAAATCTTTTAAAGACCAAAATTAACGAAAAAACGTGTTGATTGTCCTGGACCACGATTTCATTTATTTTTGATTTTTATTTAAAAAATTGGCGTATTTTATTTTGATGCTTCTAAAATTAAGAGAAATTTTCAAAGAAATGAATCCCATAAAAAAAAATTCCAAAGACTGAAATTAACAACAAAATTTCTTTTAAAAATTTTCGGAGGTGGTCAAAAATTTCATATTGAAAACTGAGCGTTGGCCAAAGTGGGTCAAATATTTACAAACGAATCCAAAAATGTGGATCCCAACATGTTAAATCGGAAAATAGTGTGTGTTAATGGTCCTAGACTAAAGATTTTCGAAATATTCGTCGTTGAAGTGAAATTTTTAAAATCTCCTAAAACTTATTTATATGTCTTTTTGGAGCCGTAAAAAAAAATTGAAAGGTCAAAATTAGGAAAAGAACATCTTCTAGTAGCTTTTGAAATTGTTCGTTAAAAGTCAAAATTTCCATATCGCTGTGTACTGAAAAATTAAGCTTTTGGTGAAGTTTTGCAACGAAAGAATCTTACGTAGTAATTTTTGAGGTCAAAATGTCAAAAAGTTCATATTAAAAAATTGAGCTTCTGCTACAATTACCTAAAAAATATTCTGTTTCAAAATGAAAAATTGAAAGTAGGTATACTCGAAAATTGCTGTAGTTTTATGTAGCCGATTCTTAAAAAGTGTTGGAATTTTCGAAGAAATAAACTTAAAAATACTCAAAAAGGTCAAAATTAACGAAATACTTTTTTGTAAGAGTTGCTGGTGTCAAAAGTCAAAATTTTTGCGAACTATTCAGCTTTTGGAAAAAAATTTCGAAGTAATGAACTCCAAAAGACTTCCGGATTGAAATAATAAAATAATCTCTTTTCGTCATTTTCGATGATGTTACCGAAGAGGTAAAAAATTTCATATTGAAAAATTGAGCTTTTCGCGAAGTTGCCTAAAAATCCATAAAAAGTTCCAGACTTTCGACGAGCTGAACCTTGATCCTGGATCAAAATTTTTCAAATTAAAATTTTTAAAATACTTCTATTTTACATGTTGCTGATTCCAAAATTTTCTTAGAGAGGGGGTGGTAAGAGGAAGTTGCCTAAACTTCCATAAATAATTCTAGAATATAAATCTCGACGAACTGAATCGAAAAAGTCGAAAAACATTAAGCGTTCATCATCCTGGAACAAGATTTCGTAATATTTTGTACCAAAGCGATTTTTTTTAATATTTCAAAAATTATCATACATATTTGATTTTCACGATTTGAAAAAATCATAGGAGTTTTCGCAGAAATGAAGTCCGGAAAAACTTCTCGAGGTTGAAATCATCAAGAATTTCCTGACTGTGCTCGGGAAGAGGTCAAAAATTGCATGTTGAAAAGTTCAACTGGACGAAGTTGCCTAAACATCCATAAAAAATTCAGAAAAATAGATCTCGACGAGATGCTTAAAAAAAAATTCATTATTCTGGAACAAGATTTCGAAATATTTTGTACCAAAGCGACTTTTTTTTAACATTTCAAAAATTGATTCTGAAAAAATTATACGAATTTTCGATTGTCTATAGTTTGAAGTCAACACGAGAAACTCCTTTGGTAATTTTCGACGGTGTTCGGGAAGTTGTAAAAAATTTCATATTGAAAAATTGAACTTTTGGTGAAGACTGGTGAAGACTGAATCGAAAAACATTTCCTGTTCTCGATGAACTGAATCGAAAAATATACCATAGTGGATCAAGATTTTTGAAATATTCAATTTCAAAATGAAAATTTTAATTTATTCCACAATTGATAAATTTTATGTACGCAGTTCTGAAAAAATTGTAGGAATTTTCAAAGAAACAAGGACCGTAAAACCTTCTGAAGGCCAAAATTAAGGAAATAAGCTCTTCCAGCAATTTTGGAAGGTGTCCGAAAGAGATCAAAATTTTTAACGGGGTGCACTGAAAAATTGAACTTTTGGCGACAATTTTTAAAAGCCTGCACAAAGTTCTAGAATATCTTCTCTCAACGAGCTGAATCGAAAAACTCAAAAATAATGCGTCTTGGATAAAAAATTTTGAAATATTCGGTTTCAAAGTGATTTTTTTTTGAGTAAGTACTTCAAAAAGTGGCGTTATTTCACCTTGAGGATTCTAAAGAAATAGGAATTTTCGAAGTGAAACCAAAAAAAAAATCTGAATATATATACATAAATCTAGACGAACTAACTCGAAAAAGCCTGGAACAAGATTTCGAAATATTTAGTACCAAAGTAATTTTTTTTAATATCTTAAAAATTATCATATTTGATTTTCACGATCCTGAAAAAAATGTAGGGATTTTCGCAAAAAGTAAGCCCAAAAAAGCTTCTAGAGTTTCAAGTCAACACAAGAAATCCCTTCGGTAATTTTCATCCTGGACCAAGATTTCGAAATATTTTTTTCCAAAACAACTTTTTTGATATTTCGAGAATTAGCATTTTTCGTTTTCACGGTTCTGAAAAAATGGTGGCAATTTTCGCAGAAATGAAGTCCAGAAAAGCTTCTAGAGGTTGAAATCAATAAAAGAATTTTCGACTGTGCTCGGGAAAAAGTCAAAAATTGCATTTGCCAAAGGGGGGCAAAAATTTACAATAGAATCTAAAAATGTAGATCTCCGACGATGAATCGAAAAAGCGTGTTACTGGTCCTAGACCAAGATTTTCGAAATATTCAAATTTAAATTGAAATTTCTAAAATATTGTAAAACTTACCTATCATATTTCATTTTGGCGCCATAAAAAATTTTAAAAGGTGAAAATTAGCAAAAGAATATCTTCTAGTAACTTTTGAAGGTGCTCGCGAGAAGTCAAAATTTCCATATGGGGGTGTACTGAAAAATTAAAACTTTTGGCGATATTGCAACGAAGGAATCTCTTTTGGTAGTTTTTGAGATCAAAAGATCAAAAGGCTCATATTGAAAAATTGCGCTTTCGCCAAAATTGTCTAACCAAATCGACAAATGATGACCCGGATTCGATTTCAAAAATTGAAAATACTCCAAAATTGCTGTATTTTTTTCCTGGCGACTCTGAAAATAATTGGAATTTTCGAAGAAATAAACTTAAAAAAACTTTTAGAGGTCAAAATTAACGAAATATTTTTTATGAAAGTTGCCAAAGAGTCCACAAAAAAAACCTGGAATACAAATTTCGACGAGCTGAATCGAAATTAGCATAGTTCACTTTGAAGATTTGAAAAGATTTTTCGAAGTAATGAAGCCCAAAAAACTTCTGCATTCAAATAGCAAAAACTTTTCGTAATTTTCGATGGTGTTAGCGAAGAAGTCAAAAATTTCATATTGAAAAATTGAACTCTTGGCGAAGTTGAGTAAAAATCCACAAAAAATTTGAAACTCGAGGTGTTAAAAATAGATCCTGGATCAAAATTTTTCAAATTGAAAATTTTAAATTTTAAAGTACACCCATATTTTCATGTTCGTAATTCCAAAACTTTCTTGGATGGGGAAGGGGGTTATGAATTAAGTAATAAGAAGTTGTCTATAAAGCATTTTGAAAATATAAAATCGATGCATTTAGGATTCGTCAAAATTATGACTACTGTAAAACTGAAAATAGAAATGGAAAGTTTTTAGGTTAAGTGTTAACTTTTTTTTCCGCGTTCCACTTTGAGTTGGCAGCGCAGAAAATCCATAAACAATGAATTTACTTCTAAGTTTAAATTTTTCTTAAATTTTCGTATTTTTAATTAACTTCGTTTAGTAATTTTCGAAAGTGCTGGGAATGAGGCAAAAATGTCCGTACTATATCTCATTTTGACGACTTTGAAAAAAATGGTACGAGTTTGTTGAAGAAATGAAGTCGTAAAAAACTCGTAGA